GTGTAGGCTCAACCCCTGGCCCCAACTGGGGCACATGCATGTGTATGTTTCTCTGTTTCCCCACTCCCTTCTACTCTCTCTAAAATTAATAAAAATATCCTCCGGTAAGGATTAACCAAAAAAGAAAAGAAAAAAAATCAATAAATTAGAAAGTGTAAGCAACTTCTATTTTTGTAGGTTTCACTTTATTCGCCAGAAATTTGCCTTTTGCTGAGGTAAAAATTCAGAATGTAAACTAATTCATCCTTTATAATAAAAGGGTAATATGCAAATTTATCCTAACAGCAGAACGACTGGGAATGACTGGTCACTATGACACACTGACCACCAGTGGGCAGATGCTCAATGCAGGAGCTGCCCCCTGGTGGTCAGTGCACTCCCACAGGGGGAGCTCTGCTCAGCCACAAGCCAGGCTGATGGCTGCCAGTACAGCGGTGGTGGCGGGAGCCTCTCCCGCCTCCTCAGCAGTGCTAAGGATGTCCGACTGCAGCTTAGGCCTGCTCCTCGCTGGCAAGTGGACATCCCCCAAGGGCTCCCAGGCTGCCGGAGGGATATCTGACTGCCAGCTTAGGCCCAATCTCCCAGGGAGCAGGCCTAAGCCAGCAGGTGGTCATTCCCCGAGGGGGCCCAGACTGCGAGAGGGCACAGGCCGGGCTAAGGGACTCTTCCCTGTCCTCCGTCCTAACCCCCAGTGCACAAATTTTTGTGCACCGGGCCTCTAGTTTCCAAATAAATGCAACAAATGATGATTACACAAGCACTAAACATCAACACTTATAGTCTATTAACTTTAAAGCCCACTAATTCTGACATTCATTCATCTTTGCCTTCTTGAAGTATTGTGAGTATTTCAGTTTTACAGCAAAATATTAGATAGAAAAACATTAAATGATAATCTTAAGGTTAGGAACAAAGATAATTTCTAGCTCCTAGTATTTCTAGCACTGCTTTAAAATTGCTTCAATAAATTCTATAATTGTTAACCACTGTTTTGCTCAACTCACATCAAAAGGTTAGCCCTAACCCATTTGGCTCAGTGGATAGAGCATCAGCCTGGGGACTGAAGGGTCTGGGCATATGCCTGGGTTTCGGGAGCAGTCCCCAGTAAGGGCTGTGCAGGAGGCAGCTGATCAATGATTCTCTCTCATCATTGATGTTTCTATCTCTCCCTCTCCTTTACTCTCTGAAATCAATAAAAATATATTTAAATAATAATGGCCAGGATCCAATTTTAAAGAAGAGAAACTTCAAGTTACTTTCACTTGACAAGATCACTAACAAATAGGCTACTTAAAAAAAAAATTACAGAAAATGTTCTAGAGGGGATTAAACATCAGATACACTCTGTACCTATTCAAATAATGGAGATCACACTTTCAAATACATTTAAATTATTGTTGGATTTTAGTGCATGAAATCTTACATTATTTTTTGAAATCCACAAACACAGCATTTGTTTTATTACTATTTCATATAGCACTGGTTAATAAAAACAATTTATGTGTTGTAAGACTAATAACTTAAAACTAACACAGGAAATTACTTTCTGACTGATAAAAATATTTTACCCATTTAAAATGTTTTAGAAGTGGTAACTTTATGATGTTGCACACCCTCAAAAAAGTCCAACTTGCATGAAATTCCATTTTCCCAGAATTATTAACCCTACTTATAAATATTGCTGGCCAAGAGCATTTACAATAATTATGCCCGGCCAGCATGATTCAGTGGTGGAAGTCACAGTTCCATTCCCAGCTGGGGTACATGCCTGGGTTGCAGGCACCATCCCCAGTGTGGGGCGTGCAGGAGGCAGCCGATCAATGGTTCTCTCTCATCACTGATGTTTGTGTCCCTTTCTCTCTCCCTTCCTAAGATCGATAAAAAAAATATATGTATATATATATACATATATGTATATATATACATATATGTGTGTGTGTGTGTGTATATATATATATATATATATATATATATATAATAGAGTGAGTAAGTACAATTAGCCTTAAACCCATCAGGACACTGTCACCTGAAAAAAATGTCTTTCAGCAAAGTTAGACTTTAATACTTTTCACTGATTAAAAAGCTGACCTAACTTATAAATGAAAGACTTCCTTTTTTGGGCATCTTACTGAAGTGTATTTTTATATCTAAAGTAAGTCTTTATATCTGAAAGACCAATTAAGAATGAGTGGGTACTACCAGGTTAGTGAAATTTGCAAATTCCAACAATTCTTTCAAACTAGGAATCAAAAGAATGACAGAATCTCTAATTTTGCCATAGGTATTCACCAGACTTATGTTATCTTAGGGAGCTTTCACATGGCCTTTACATCCTCTTAAAAAATCACGATTTGATCTCACAAATTTTTTTAAAATATATTTTTATGAATTTCAGAGAGGAAGGAAGGGGGGGGGGAGAGAGACATCAATAGAGAGAGAATCATTGATTGGCTGCACCTGGGGATCAAGCCTGCAAGCTGGGCATGTGCCCTTGACCAGAATCGAAACTGGGACCCTTTAG